AATCCCCATACAGATGTAACAGGTGGAGTCCACGTTGCTGCTGTGTACCGCCTTCTCCTGGCAGAGCCAGGGGTCCGGCCCCTCCTCGACGCTCACGGGAAGGGGAGTTTCCCACCATCTGCGTGTGATTCACCAACCCTCGCTGCTGCCTCCACAGTGCTGGACTACAGGCAGCAGCAGCAGCAGGAGGCCTCCACAGTGCTGGACTACAGGCAGCAGCAGGAGGCCTCCACAGTGCTGGACTACAGTCAGCAGGCACGTGCAGCAGGAGGCCTCCACAGTGCTGGACTACAGGCAGCAGCAGCAGCAGGAGGCCTCCACAGTGCTGGACTACAGGCAGCAGCAGCAGCCACGTGCAGCAGCGGAGCCGCCACCGCCCACACGGCCCATGATGGGACAGTGGAGCTGGCACCATTGAGACCCCACAGAGACTCAAATGGACCCATAGAGATACATAGAGATACATAGAGACCCATAGAGACACATAGAGATACATAGAGATACATAGAGATACATAGAGACCCATAGAGACACATAGAGATACATAGAGACCCATAGAGACACATAGAGATACATAGAGACACATATAGATACATAGAGATACATAGAGACACAAGCCACAGGAGTGAGACTGTGGCCATGTAACCCAGAGACACATAGAGACCCATAGAGATACATAGAGACCCATAGAGATACATAGAGACCCATAGAGATACATAGAGACCCATAGAGATACATAGAGATACATAGAGACATATAGAGACCCATAGAGACCCATAGAGATACATAGAGACACATAGAGATACATAGAGATACATTAAGACACAAGCCACAGGAGTGAGACTGGCCATGTAACCCACACAGAGACCCATAGAGACACATAGAGATACATAGAGATACATAGAGACCCATAGAGACACATGGAGATACACAGAGATACACACAGAGATACACACAGAGATACATAGAGATACATAGAGACACATATAGATACATAGAGATACATTGATACACAAGCCAAAGCAGTGAGACTGTGGCCATTCAACCCACACTCTGGACCCCACAGTGAACCCACTGTGGTCTGCGCTCCTTCAACAGTGGAGGAGGAGGTGGAGGAGGAAGAGGTGGAGGAGGAAGAGCGACAACAACTCTCTCCTCTCCCTCTCTCTCGTTGCTGAAGCCCTCTCGTCGTGGCCAGCAGCAGCAGCAGGAGGCCTCCACATTGGTGGCATTTAGCCGCTGCACCACATCGCGACTGCTGCCATCGTGCGTAATAATAGAACCCCTCCCCCCTCCCTCCCCTTCCAGCCCCCCTCCCCGTCCCTCCCGGGGGAACCCGGGGGGGGGGGCCGCGGGGGGGGGACACGGAAGAGTTCTCTCACCCCGCCCCCCGCCCCAGACACTCGCCCACCAAAGACAAAGATCCCCCGTATAGCCTGAACAGACTGTTGGGGCAAGTGCTGTTAGCGAGCAGCACCTGTGAAGGCCGGCACGGTGCACGAGGGGGTGGTTGGCCACCTTTGTCTCCCTAGTGGCGATGTTTACCCCCCACACTCCCTCACCAGCCCCGCCCCCTCGCCCTCCCCCCACACTCTCCCACCCTCCCCGCCCCCCCCCCCAGACACTCCCCCACTAGCCCCGCCCCCCGAGAGGTCCCTCGCTTCCAACATGGGGCAGTCCCACCAGCATTGGTTAATTTCTCTAGAACTGCTTGTGTCGTCATCGTCATCATTGCTTATTGTGTGTTTAGTTTGTTGACCTTTCCCCGCAACTCCGATTAGCACGGTTAGCTACGTACGGTGCGAAAGAGGTTCAACAACGTGCATACACACACGCGAGTCTGACTCTGCTGCTGATGAGACGATTCATGTCGAAACGGGTCCATGGTCTTGTTTGTATCGATTGGACTGCCGCTGAAATGATGCACTCCCAGAGGGACGGTCCGTATGGCTGACGGGAAGTATAAAACATGTTGAACGTGTTTTTATGTGGACGGACATATACGAGTTGGAGGCGGAATGATCTGCATGTTCATTTGTGTTATCGGACGACGGGACAGCCCCTGGGGTGCCTCGCAGCTGCACCGCTCTCGTGCGCGTCACAACGACGGCGATGACGACGGCGATGACGACGGCGATGACGACGGCGATGACGACGGCGATGACGACGGCGATGACGACGGCGATGACGACGGCGATGACGACGACGCCGCCACGTGGAGGGAGAAGATGGCGCGCGGGATGCTGCCTCCTTCAATGGAACGATCGGAGGAGTCCTCCATCAGCCTGCGAAAGCGGCGAGGTGCGAACCGTCAGGCGTCTATCACTGGCGACTGCCCCGATACAGCCAACGCAGCGAGCCCGAAGCAACCGCCGTGTGTTCTGGTGGAACGGGTGCGTAGATTCCTCACCGCGATGAACTCATACTGATGATGACTATTTCAGATTGTAACGCGTACGGAACTCGCTGGCTCACGTCGAGAGGGAGAGGAGACTCAGCGATGCCAGGAGGAACCACAGATGAGTGGGAAGGTAGCAGCAGCCAGGCGGTGAAATCGGCCCAATTAACTACATGTTGAGGGGGAATCAGCACTTGGAAAAAACCCCACGCGTGCGAGGGGGAAACACTCTATTCCCATACAAATGGCACATGTGGTCACACCTTGTGCCGTACCGCCTTAACCCTGGCGGGCCAGGGAAACAGGCTCCTCCTAGACGCCCACGGGTAGAAAGGGAGTTTCGCACCATCTGTGTACCACCAACCCTCGCTGCTGCTGCTGCCTCCAATGCTGGATTACAGGCAGCCACACGTTTGTCGTTGTTCGGGGCACCTGGTCACGGTGCTGTGAGCTGTGGTAGAACATTGTCGTGATCACTTTTATAATTGTTGTTATGCTGATTATTAAGGGTTTGTCAGGTTGCAAATGCTGCGTGTAACATAATACCCCCCCCCCCCCCCCAATTGAGAATTGAAGCATTGGTGCTCATCTGCAGGGCGGGAAGCCATGCGGGCAGCAGACGATGTATGTGGAGAAGTGGCAAAAGTTGGAGATTTAAAAACAAATTCGGATGGCGTTTGGAGGAAAAAAAACAGCGGTGGAAATTCCACATTCCTATGGCCGGGGGTGGGGATTTGGGCGCACAGCTGCGAGGTGAGTGCGGGGTCGACGGTGCGAACAAGCGGAGCGGATGTGGAGACGCAGTGGCATCAGGGACTCGAGACCAGGGGTGACCTCTTGACCTCGATTATGGGTTTCACGTTGTCGACAAGGAAACACGAGAGCTGAGGGCGAGTCAGTCGCTGAGTTATCGCTCCCTCGCCCTCGCTTCTTCGCTCTCTAGGGCCGGGGGACCACGTGGGGAGTTTACGAGACGAGATGAGTTATTGGAAGTTTGTCAAGAGACCATTAATAAAGCGTTTTTTAAAATATTTATTTAATGCTTCGCTAAAGTGGTCCGATGGTTTTGGTTGCATTCTATCCCTATTATTATATTATTATATTTGGCTTTGGAAGACATTGGTGGTCGAGCCAACAACCGCATCGCAACATCGCCAGGCCAATGCTGCACCTCGCGAATGGAAACTTGTGGTGCGACTGTGTGTAGAACTTCTTTCGCACCGTACGTAGCCAGCCGTGCTCCTTGGAGGTGCGGGAGTAGGACAACAAACTAAACACAAGGAATTCTGTGATAAACCCAAACTATAGACCGTTGGTGGTAGTTGTTTGGTGGTGGTTTGGTGGTGGATGTTTGGCGGTAGTTGTTTGGTGGTGGTTGTTTGGTGGTTGGTGGATGTTTGGCGGTGATTGATGTTTGGTGGTAGTTTTTTATTGGATGTTTGGTGGTGGTTGGTGGTTTGGTGATTGTTTGGTTGTTTGGTGGTCGGTGGTTGTTTGGTGGTGGTTGTTTGGTGGTGGTTGTTTGGTGGTGGTTGTTTGGTGGTGGTTGGTGGTTGTTTGGTGGTGTTTGGTGGTGGTTGGTGGTTGTTTGGTGATTGTTTGCTCGGGAGTCAAACACGGAGGTTATCGCGCGGGGTCGCAGTCGGAATGCGAGCGCCATGACCCCACGCACCAGACCACTCACCACAATCACCACACTCCCCAAGCACCACTCACCACACTCACCATTCACCACTACTCCCCAAGCACCACTCACCATTCACCACTACTCCCCAAGCACCACTCACCATTCACCACTACTCCCCAAGCACCACTCACCATTCACCACTACTCCCCAAGCACCACTCACCACACTCACCATTCACCACACTCCCCAAGCACCACTCACCACACTCACCATTCACTACTCCCCAAGCACCACTCACCACACTCACCATTCACCACACTCCCCAAGCACCACTCACCACACTCACCATTCACCACACTCCCCAAGCACCACTCACTACACTCGCCATTCACCACGCTTTCCAAACACCACACCACTCGCCACACAGCATTCACAACACACCACACGTGTCCACACAAAACCGCCGTTCATCACCAAGTGGCGGTAACGTCACGACACTTGTGCCAGGCGAGGTGCACCTTGAGACCACGTGAAGAGTGGAAGGCTCGCTGCTGGCAAGTCGTCACGGGCAGACCTGAGATGACTGGCAGATGCACCATCTGTGCTCTCCACTGTGCCAACTCGCTAAGTTTTAACCGCCCAACACTCTTTGTCGCTCCTCCCCAGTTGCTGAAGGAAAACTGCCTCCAACTCCAGAGTAGCCTCAGAGTAACACCTGGCCCGTCACTGCCAAGTAGCGACCTTCACGAGCCTCCTCATACACCACATATACGCAAGCACCAAAGACACCTCGTATAGCCTTAACAGACTGTTGGGGCAAGTGTCTTTAGAGAGTACCTGTGAAGGACAGAACGGCACACGAGGGGGTGGCCGTGGTGCTGGATGAGCCGACCTTGGTGAGGCCCGTGATCGGTTCAGATAATCGTCACCGATGTTGGCCGCGAGCGTGAATCAAACTCGGGTCGCCAGGTTCGTAGCCCAGCGCGCTAACCGCTAACACTACCGCACCGCACACGCACGCGCACCACACACGCGTAATGCACAGCGAGCGAGCAAATGCGGTGCTGCACTTTTATTTTTCAACAGAGCAACGAGGGTTAAGTTTAACCAGGCGGTGACAGAGGCCGCCCGCCGCTTATACGTTCCCGCCAACCAGCACCTTCGTTACCCAACTTCCCCTTCCGATGCAGAGCACTGAACACATGTGAAATCTAGATTTGGGAATAACCAGTAACCAAAATATATATTTTTAAACGGTTGTCAGTTTTCGACGTTAACAGGAATGTCGAGCAAAAAACGTAACATTTTTAACCCGAACCGGTAACTGACAAATCGGTTAACGATTCAGGGTGAAATCGCAAGCACCTCCTCACCACCGGGCTCACAGCGACCCCTGGCGGCCGCGCGTCTCAGCGCGACACGAGACCTCTGTGTCGAGGTTGTTATTGTTGTTATTCTCTCACTCTGTTCTCCGTGGGTTTCCCCCGGGGGTTCTCCGGTTTCCTCGCGTGGTGAAACGCACAACGTCCCTGGCGTCAGCCAAACATCCCAATGGAGCAGGACCCTCCCTGGCTAAATCAGTGGTAATTATGAGGTTCACACAAATATTTGTTCCACTCGGAACGCAAATTCCGCAATGCATTTTCTCTCTATCCGAACGTTAATTTTTTTTATTAAACCTTTCTTTGCGCGAAGGTTTATACAATCAGCACAAGCAAACGATGAACTTCAACGTCAACTTCCAGAAGGACGTAGCAGCGGGAAACGGCTCCCGCGGCCGCTCTCTCCGCTCCGCCTGCCGAGGCCTCTGCCGGGCGACGAGCACCAGGGTCGCTGGACGAGTGTGCGAGCGCGGTATCTTACAGCGTCACTCTCGCGGCAACGCAGGGCCATCACCCCGCCGTGTCTCGCCACCACGGCCGCAGCCGCTACCGCGCCCGCTAGTTTCGCGCCGGCGGGCGGGATGTCGTCGCTGCTGCTGCAAGCGATTGGGGTGCGGGGAGGGGAACCCGAGGGGCAATTTTTGAGGTCGCGGACTCCCGAGACGTGGCTGAACCCCGTTTCGAACGACGCGTTAACCGGGGCGGCCTGCCGGATGCAAACCTCGAACCTCGGCCGGCGACGAGCAGTGGCCCCGGTGAGAAACATTCAACATTCACTCACCGGCCTCCGCCGTGGAGTTATCACATCGAGGCTCCCCCGTCCCCCACTCTCACAAAGGTGGGCGGGGGAGGGCTAGCGTAAGGGGGGCGGGGGAGGGCTAGCGGAGGGGGACCCCCATGCCAGGAGAAGGCCCCGGGCCTGCGCTGCGCTAGTGGCTCGCCGATCATGGCGATGCGGCCAATGGTCCCCCGACAGCCCCGTCGCGCCGTCGGCCTAGCGGCGACAGAAAAAGGCAACGCGGCTCGGTGAGAGACCGTGGGCGGTAACGATCCGTCAGCATGAGCGCGTGTGTACGTGCGAGTGTATGCGTGTGTACGTGCGAGTGTATGCGTGTGTACGTGCGAGTGTATGCGTGCATGCACGTGCGCAGTCAAGTTTGGGTGCACCCCGCATCTTCCGAGAGACACAGCACCGCGCAAAGTTGAAGCGCAGAGCAAATATAGCGGCACGAGTTTCCTAGACCAGCGGTCATTCCCAATCTTGTTTGGCTACTCTGTACGCCCCTTGTTGAATTTCGTTTCAACCGAGTAGCCCCCTTGCCTGAGCCAACATGGTTCTGAGAAATAAATGTATGGATAATGAACGTCAATATTTTAACCAATTGACCATTTTTTTAGGTATCCTCTACCTAGCTAGTAACTTGCAAGCGAATATAAAAGATAAACGGACACCCTGCACGCGTGACATCATTTGTTCACGCTGGCTGGCTACTCTTGTAAACCACATTGTTTACAATTAATGACTTTATAAAGGTGTTTTATTTCGTTCTAGGTTACCATATGGATTTAAATTTTATCGCAGTTATTTTATATTGGCAGATTCATGCAACATTATTATTCACCAATGACTCTCACGTACGATATAATTTATAAATCACCTCATGTACACCTTGGGACATTGCCCATGTAACCCCAGGGGTCCGCGTACCCCCGTCCTAGACCCCCGCCACGGCCGTGCGCCTCTGCCCACCCAGCGGTGTTGTCAATTAGGTTCACGCGGCGGGGGTCGAGTGGTGGCGAGGCCCCCTCTCTATAGAGACGTGAAAGATTAGGCCGAGTACCGCTCTAGAGCGGCCTCCAGTGGCGGCCCCTTCCACTAGCCGTGGCGTGAGCGAGCACCACGGCCGCGTTGGGGTTTCGAACGCGGGCGCCAATCTCGTCGGTTGGCAACCTTCGGAAACCGGTCGCAGATTGCGGAAGTGGGGAGTGGTTTTTAAATCCCCTCCCTTGGCGGAACCACGCCGGGCACGGCCAGTTCTCATGGCCGAGCGAATGCACCGCCGCTGGCTTGCGTCCGTCACCTCTGTGCGGCGAACGGCCCGACGAGCGACGTGTCGCCGTCGGAGGAGGCGGCGGAGGACGTGGGAGAGGCGACGATGCCAGCGCCACCGCCGGGAAACCTCGCTCCTCCTGGCGGCCCACCCTGGGACCGCCCGACCACGTGGCCACCGTCACGCCGGCAACCTTCAGCCTCCCGCCACCACGCCGCAGAACCGCGCGGCCATCTGCACGCCAGGGTCACGTGGGCAGAGTGGGGGAGGGGGGGGCGGGGAGTTGTTTGGCCATACTTCACCACGCCGGTTGATGACGCGAGTCGCGTGTAAAGCAGCGGCTCTTTCGGTCGCACCAATCACAATCGCAGCGGGCCCCGCGACCGCCCTGCGCATTCCACTCGCACCTTCACGGGCCCTGCCCACCCCTCTCTTGGGCTGGAGCGTCCAGGAGGCCCCGGCAGGGAGGACGATTGTCTCACGATCCACCGCCGGGAGTCGGAACGTCGCGGAGGCGCCGACTCCTTCCCTGTCGGTTGCCGGGGGCCTGCTCAGCACCGGGAGCGGCAGCGTCAGCCCGTCCGCAATGCACTTGCGCATCTCGAGGGCGCGCGCCGCCAGCTCGTCCTGCGCGACGACGCGGGCGGTGCCGCACGCAGACGGGAGGGGCACAACGATGACAACGACGACGACGAGAGGAACGAGGAGTTTAATGATCTCGTCCGGTGGAGTCACGGCGCCAATCGACGCCAATCGGCACCACCGCCGCTGTGCCAGCAAAGGGGCGGAGCAACTCGGACTTCCAGAATAACCGTCTCATCGCTCAAAACCCAAATGCCATTGCACCTCCGCCTCCTCCTGGCTTTGATTTTCCTCCTCTTCGAAGTTGGTGTGCGTGTACACGTACGTACGTGTACACGTACGTACGTGCGCACGTGTGTGCGCGTGTGCACGTGTACCTAGCACAAGCGTCGTGGTGACGTCACCGCCACTTAGTGGCGATTGGCGGTTGTTGTTGTTTTTGTGTACCTGTGTATGTGTGCGCATGTGTACATGTGCGACCGTGTGCACATGTACGAGCGTGTGCGCGCACGCGCGCACAGTGTGCATGTGCGCGCGTGTGCCCGTGTACGTGTGCGCGCGCGTGTGTATACGTGTGCGCCTGACCTTGCCGTCGCACAGCTCGAGCAGCGGCTGCATGGCCGAGTCGGCCAGCTTGCGCTGGAAGAGTTTCCCGTCGAAGTAGTTCCAGGGCGCGGCGCAGGCGAGCGACACGGGCCGGCCGCACGCGTCGTTGGCAACCAGCGCCATCTCCACGCCGCACATGAACAGCCTCGCCAACGCCACGCCGCGCGCGCTCACCTGCTGCACCTGCACACCGGCGTCACCCCGTGGGTGTGTGGTGTTTGAGTGGGGTGTGCGGTTGTGAGTGGCGTGTGGTGAGCGTGTTCTGTGCGTGTTAGTCTTGTGTGTGTGTTCATCTTGTGTGTGTGTTGCGTGAATGTTGCGTCAGTGTGTGTGTTGTGTGTGTGTGCAACTGTTGACGTTCGGTCGCCACCTCGAGGTCCCTGAGCTCGGCGAGGCTGCGGTGGTGCAGGGTCACGGCCTGCGCCAGGAACGCATTCATCTCCGACCTGGACAGCAGCTCCCCCGGGCCAGGCCACTGCAGCATGTACCTGGCCCCCCACAACGGGCACCACCCAAGCACAAAGCTCCCCTGTGCAGCCTTAAAAGTTTGTGGGGGCAAGCGCTGTTAGCGAGTAGCAGCCGCGCTGCCTACGAAGGCCGGCACGGCGCACGAGGGAGTGGGTGGCCGGCACCACCCCCGCCCGGCCGCCTTTGTTTCCCCAGTCGCGACGTTTACGCAACAGCACCAAGTACCCGTTTGAGGCCGAGTCAACCTAGGGGAGGCCGAGGACCGCTCTGTGTTGGTGGCCACGAGCGGGAATCGAACACGGGTCTCTGCCGGGTACGAGGCTCAGTGCGCTAACCACTGCACCACCGCTCCACACAAACACTGTAGACATGTGAGTACAAGGCACTCGCAGCCTGTGTGCAGCATTACGTGAAAACCATCGCCATTTCCTGAAGGACTACATTGTGGTCCTCTTGTCTTTGGTCCCCATCAAAATAATCACCACATCGTAGTTCTTCGGGAACTGTTGGTGGTTTTTGCACATAAGATCGAGTGATTTTTATCCATATTTCTGTGTGGCGAGATGTTATTTTCCTCGCCTGGTATAGAGGAGATTGTTGGTTCGATACCAACCCTGACGCTTGCTGCATATTTGGAGTTTGCGTGTCTCTCTCTCTCCCCGTAGTCGTATGGATTTTTCTCCGGGTCCTCCGGTCTTTCCCTCCACATTTAGAATCAACATGCGTTGAGAGTATTTTGCTGCTGTAAATTTCCATACGATGATAAGCCACTATCATTTGTGATGGCCAGGTGGCTGTTGTTCAAAGTGGTTCTGCACCGACGTTTCTGTTGCGATGGGGGGGGGGTGGCGTTTATGGATTTGAAAAAATGCACAACAGAGGGCACGGGACGGACTACCCCTCCGTAAGATGACTGTACCCCCACCTTCTTCCCTGACCACCCCTTCCCTTCCCCCCTCCAGCTAAAAGCATATTGGCTCCACCGACGCGATTCTTTTGTGAAAGAGGTGATAGATGTATACCCCTCCCCTACACCCGCAGTTAAATTCCCCCATCTTATAGACCTGGTCATGTCGGCTCTGAGGGCCCAGAGTTTTTTCCCCGTACAGTTTTATCTGTCACCTAAAACATTGTTTCGGGGCTGTGTTGTTGTTGTTTCATAAAATCCGAATAAACAAATAAAATACACGACGCTACAGGCACAATGACCATGACCCCAGAATATTGAGCTCGGTGCGACGTGGCCGTACGGGAACACGGACTCACGGCGAGCTGCCGCACGGAGGTGACATGGGCCTGCAGTGCGGTCAACGAGTAGGACGGCGAGTAGGTGGATGGGTGAACGTCAGGGATAGTGAGAGGGGATAAGGGTGTCGTGTTAGTTTTGGGGCTTATTGATAGGGGGGGATAGGGGTTAGTGATAACGGATAGTGATTTGAGACAGAGTTAGCGGACAGCGAAAGGGAATAGGAGGCTAGAGTTGGAGGATAGCGATAGGGGTGATAAGGGATAGTGATAGGGGTTCATGTCAGGGTCAAGGGCGAGTGTTCGGAGTGAGTCATCATGTTGAGACTCATGCCATTTGATGCTCACTCAATCTCCCCCCGTCTACAACCCCCCCCCCCGCCTCCCCAGGGGCACTTACCGGAGCACGCAGCACAAGAGGAGGAAGTAGGGCGGCACGCTCGCCTGGTTGCGAAGGCCGGGCGTGCCGTCGCAGCGGAGGCAGGCGAGGAAGGCGCCCATGCGCCTGGCGTCGCCCTCAGGGCCCTGCGCCGCCCAGAGCTCGAGGGGAGGCGGGCATCGGTGGGCGGAGGTGGGCAGCGCCAGTGGCGGCACCAGCTCCGAGAGGCACAGGCACCCGCTCGGCCTCCACTCCCTGATGCGCGCCGCGCAGCCTGCGTGCCACCAACAGCCGCCATTCGCCACGAAGCGGCGGTGATGTCACCACGGCGCTTGTGCCAGGCTATGTGGAGGAGGCTCGTGAAGGACGCTACTGGGCAGTTGGAGGCAGTCGCCCTTCCAACAACAGCAGAGAGCAGAGCAGCGATGCTCCCAACAACGAGCGCGGGCAGCTAAAACACAGTAAGTTAACACAGTAGGGGGCACAAGTGGTGCATCTACCAGCCATCTCAGTCAACCCATGGCACCTGCTGGATCTATCCCGTGATCTCCTGCCAGCGGGCGTTCGACACTACATGTGGCCTTAAAGTGCACACAGGGCAACCACCACCATCACCCGTGCCTCCACATAGACAACGCAGCCCTCCTTCACACAGCCGTCCCTCCACATAGACAACGTACCCCTCCTTCACACACCCGTCCCTCCACATAGACAACGTACCCCTCCTTCACACACCCATCCCTCCACATAAAAGAGAAAAATATTCATTTGCGTTACATAGTTTAGCGTCGGACTAGGACCCATATCTAACAGAGAGGGGATCTTTGCCAATTAACATCTGGCAGTTCACCAGCATTGGTTCAAGTGAGCCTGGCTCTGCTGATGAGACGATGAAAGTTGAAACCGGCCAATCGTAGTTTCCTTGTACAGATTGAACCGATCCTGCCGAAATGCTGCTGAAGGCCGTGTCGCTGATGAGATGTGTAAAAAAGTACTCGGCTCTTGCATGTGGAGGTACAGGTACGAAATGGAGTTGTGCACTATCCGCTTAGTTATTTTGCTCGGCTATTTCTCCACCTGCATGCTGCCCCAGGTGCCCGAGCTGTGCTGGCTCCAACGGCTGCCGTCCAGGCTGCCCCGGCTGCCCCGGGTGCCCGCCGTCGTGGTAGTGGAACAGCACGGCATACACGTGCTGCCGGGCGGTGCGGTAGAGGCTCGCGGCCGACGGGAGTCCCCCGGGGCTCCCCTCCCCCTCCGTCACCTCTGCCGGCAGCCACACCTCGCCCTGCACGCGGGGGGGGGGGGGGCCCACGCACCAGCCCGCCAGCCCGCCCGTGGTGCGGGGGGGAGAGATTTGGAGGATCACACAGAGATCGTTCATCAAGTGAACACCGTCTGGACTCGTGATAAAAACAACGACTGAGTGCGTGTGGGTACAGGCGCCAGCGTTGTTACGGCGAGGGGGCGGTCGCCACGCGGGAAGGCACCGCTGTTTCAAAGACACGGGCCACGGTGGTAGCTTCGCGGTAGGGGGGGTGACGTTGCTGCCGTATAAGTTACACCGCGATGTTGCGGTGTCATTTTTCATGTGGCAAAATTTGGACCACACAACGGCCCACTCTTTACGAAAGGCATCACGGGATCGTTGACATCCACTGTGCAGCAGACGGTGCGTAGTTTACGGATAACGTTCCTGCAGCGATAACCAGGGCGACCTGCTGGATTCGAACCGCGAACATCTATTTCCGCTGGGCCGCGTCACCGCCCGTGATGGCCGTACAGACTCTCACCACGGACAAATATCCCCCGTATAACAGATTGCTGTGGCAAGTGCTGTTCACGAGCATCTATGAAGGCTGGCACGGCACACGAGGGATTGGGTAGCCAGCACCACGCCCGGCCACCTTGGTCTCCCTTGTGGCAATATTCACGCATTGCAACAGGTACCCATTTAAGACCGAGTCGACCTAGGAGAGGCCCAGGACCGGTTCAAATAATAGTCACTGGTGTTGCTGTGAGCGGGAATCGAACTCAGGTCGCCCAGGTTCGTAGCGCTACACTACTATGCACACAAACACGCACGCACCGTGCTGACGACGTGGAGCAGGAAGGGGTGAATCTCTCCCCGGCGGTGGAGCCACTCCACCTCCTGTATGAGTTCGGTGGGCGCCAGCCGCTCCGCTGGCTGCCCCGCCGCCGCCGCCCCGTCACCGGGGGGTGCCCACTCACCGCTGCGGGCCCCGCCCCCGTCGTTGTGGAACGCGGCCCGGCCGGCGTCATAGTAGCGGAGAGACGCGCACAGCAGATGCAGCTGCTGTGCGCGCTGAGGGAGGGAGGCAGCGGGAGAGAAGACTTGCAGCAAAAGATAAAGATTCCCCCGTGTGGCGTTAACAGACTTTTGGGGCAAGTGCTACAAGCGAGTAGCAGAACCTATGAGGGCCAGTACAGCACACGAGATGTTTGGCCAGCACCACGAACGACTGCCTTTGTCTCCCCAGTGGCGATGTTAACGCACCGCTCCAGGTACTCATTTGAGGCTGAATCAATTGAGGGGAACCCCAATACCGGTTCAGATAATCGTCACCGGTGTTGGCCATGAGCGGAAATCAAACTCGTGTCGCTGCGTCTGAAGTGCAGCGCGCTAACTGTTGCGCCACAGCTCCCCTCATGAGAAGCGGCACCTGCTCACATGCTCAGAGAGAGACAATTGTGGCATTATCCATGTGGTTAACGTGGCGCCAGCGCTTCGACTCTAGCAGGCCGACTTGGTTATCATGGTGGCGAGATGTTAACTACTGCGTCTGGTATACAGGAGGCCATGGGTTCGATCCCGACCTTGATGCCGAAATATTTTGGAGTTTTCATGTTCTCCTCATGGTCGTGTGGATTTTTCTCTAGGTTCTGCGGTTTTTCCCTCCACATGTAGAAACATGCATTTCAAGTATTTGGCTGCTGTAAATTTCCACTTGATAAGCCACTTCGCTGAGCTATCATTTGTGGCCATATCGATTCTAAAAAAAGAACTGTATAGCTCAGTGGACCTTACCTGGTAAAATTAAAATCGTTTAATAGTTTATCACTGCCGTAATACACTGTAAAACCATGACGTGCTGTCTGCTCCACAGCGGCTGATAGCGACCCGAAAACGACTCAATTGGGATTACACCAGCCCTTCCTGTGAGACTACTGTGGACCATCAGCACACAATGGCCTCACTCAAGTCGAACGATGTCAGCGAACTTTTAACATCCACCCAGGGTGAAGAAGACGGCGCGTATTCCACTATCACAGTTTGTACACACGCCGCATTCATTGCCAGGGTAGCCCGCCAGGTTCGAACCACAAACGCTGGGAACCTGGCGAACGACTTTGTCAGGTTCCCAAACTTCAGCGCTCGGCCCAAACCACGACTCGCCTCTCGCCACGTGCACTAACCCCTCCACGTTCACCCAAACCCCCCCCTCCCCTTCCAATCACACGTGGTTTCGTTTAGGGCCCAGGTTCGGTTACCTTGGAGTGGTCCTTAAATACTCGCTCGGCAATCGCCCGCAGGTCGGACAGATCGGGCAGACTCCTCACAAACGCAGCCACGGCCAGGATGACGTCTCTCAGCAGCGGCTGTAAGGGTTTAGGGAACGATGACCACGAGCGCGTGTGGCGAATAAAAGCGATCGCAATGCAAAGATGGCGCAGTGTTGGCAATGGATCGAGCGCTGACAGAGAAATAAGGCCGGGTTTGTTCTGTGGAAAAAGGTTGCAGCTCTACGGTGAAGGCTCACAAAGATCCCCCACAAAAGAATAAAAAAATATATTTTACCAGGTAAGGGCCACTGAGCTACATAACTTTTTTTCAGACGCGACATAGCCACAAGTGAAAACTCAACAAAGTGGCTCATGATGTGGAAGTGTAGAACAGCCAAACACTCTAAAGGCATGTTTCAAAATGAGGGAAAAACCGGATGACCCGGAGAAAAATACACGCGACCATGAGGAGAACATGCCAACTCCAACTATTACAGGCATCGTCAGGATTTGGATCGAACCCATGACTTCCTGTCTACCAGGCGAGGGAGTTAACATCTCGCCACCACGGCGCCCTCGTCAAGGATCATAAACCATCGCGTGAACTCCGGTCATCTTCGCAGCGGCTTTTGGCTAACCATCGAACAAAGACGCTCACTGCATCGCACGCTTTCAGATGTGCTTCTGTGGCCGTCTGGAATGCTCTTCCTCCCAATATTAGGAAGCCAATGGAGCCTATGCATTTTTAAATCTCGATTGAAAACTAATCTTTAGAACTGCTTTTTGTGTATATTTTGTTGTCCTTCCCCCACACCTCTGATTAGCACGAATGGCTAAGTATAGTGCGAAAGATGTTCAACATACATACATAAATGCAAAGATTGTTGGGGCAAGTACTGTTAGCGAGCACCTTATAACTCTGTAGACCTCGTTCTAGGCCGCAAGCCCTCGTTCTAGGCTGCAAAGCCCTCGTTCTAGGCGGCAAGCCCTCATTCTAGGCCGCAAGCCCTCGTTCTAGGCGGCAAGCCCTCATTCTAGGCGGCAAGCCCTCATTCTAGGCCGCAAGCCCTCGTTCTAGGCGGCAAGCCCTCGTTCTAGGCCGCAAGCCCTCGTTCTAGGCGGCAAGCCCTCGTTCTAGGCCGTAAACCATTGTTTTAGACCGTTAGCCCCTGTTTTAGGCCGCAAACCCTTGTTCTAGGTCGTACGCGACGACTACTCTGGCATGCGTTTGAACGGAGTTACTGATGCATAAGTCAGGACCTTTTCATTAGAGAAGGCCGTAGGCACCAGATGTTTGTGAAAAGGAGCCAAAGCTTCTGCTGACAGGATGTGGTTGCCTGTGAACAAAAACAACACAATTAGCCTTTGGTTTTAAAGTTTTATATTTTTTTCATGGTACCCCACATTATTTAGTTTGCTATTGGTGGCGTCACAAGCAGAATACATTCAGAACTCTCGTACAGCTCCAAGCGTTTTTTTACGATATAATGTAAACGATCGTATGTTACACATGCAACTTACAGACACGCGTCGTTCCCCACAATTGGCGTGCACGCTGCATATGCCTCATGCGAGCAACCCAGTGAGTGAGCGTAGCTTAGGGGAGTGTGGCCTTGGGGAGCGCGGCCTAGGGGAAACGAGCGTGGCCTCGGGAGTGTGGCCTAGGGGAATGTAGTCTAGGTGAGTGAGTGAACGTGGCCTAGGGGAGCCTTACACGCCCCAGTGCCCTCTTTATCGGCAGCGCGATGCAATCGTGACACGAGGTGGGAATAAAGGGAATACAAATATCACGACGTTTCGATCGCAACACACAAGCGGTCGTCATCAGGGAAAGGAGTCGGCCTCGAAAGGCAAACCGTTTACAAAGGTTTGGGGATGAGCGTAGCCCCAGTGTATCAGCATATGCAGGAGGTCATGGATTCGCTCTCGACCCTGACACCGGATGTATATTTGAAGCGTGCATTGTTCTTCCCGTGGGTCGCGTAGATTGAATTTCGGGTCCTCCGTTTCCCGCCCCCCCCTTCCACATTTAACAACATGCGTTGAGAATATCTGGCTGCTATATATTTCCACATGATACGTTGAGCTGTCATTTGTGATAGCCAGGTCGCTTCTGAAAAAAAGCTACATTGCTCAGTAGGCTTTACCTGGTTTTAAAAAAATAAGTAATATTTTTAAAAACTTTTTTAAAAACACGCTTTAATGAAATGTACCGAATTAGCAATGGAAGAACTCCACGACTCCAGGAAGTGGCCCCGAAGTTTGCCATAACGTAAGGGACCGTGGTGAATTACAGCCGTCAGTTGACCATGGACAATTAGACCCAAGCCGAAAATAACATAAAAAATGTTTTAAAATGTTTATTTTTTATTTTTAATGATAGAATATAGTATTGTCATCAGTATGACGTAAGTATACCAAGTTTGCAGTCGATACCACATTGGGAAGTGGGTAAAATTGAGTTAAAAGATGAGGATACAACAACAGACAGAGTGAGTTAAATAAAAGCGTGTAAAAATAAGGCAAGGCAGCAACCGGTACAGACCGAAAACCATCACTCCCATAGACAAGGATACGGAACGATTAACCATCACTCCCATAGACAAGGATACGGAACGATTAACCATCACTCCCATAGACAAGGATACGGAACGATTAACCATCACTCCCATAGACAAGGATACGGAACGATTAACCATCACTCCCATAGACAAGGATACGGAACGATTAACCATCACTCCCATAGACAAGAATATGGAACGATTAACCATCACTCCCATAGACAAGGATACGGAACGATTAACCATCACTCCCATAGACAAGGATACAGAACGATTAACCATCACTCTCATAGACAAGGATACGGAATGATTAACCATCACTGCCGTAGACAAGGATACGGAACGATTAACCATCACTCCCATAGACAAGGATACGGAACGATTAACCATCACTCCCATAGACAAGGATACGGAACGATTAACCATCACTCTCATAGACAAGGATACGGAACGATTAACCATCACTCCCATAGACAAGAATACGGAACGATTAACCATCACTCCCATAGACAAGGATACGGAACGATTAACCAACACTCCCACAGACAAGGATACGGAACGATTAACCATCACTCCCATAGACAAGAATACGGAACGATTAACCATCACTCCCATAGACAAGAATACGGAACGATTAACCATCACTCCCATAGACAAGGATACGGAACGATTAACCATCACTCCCATAGACAAGGATACGGAACGATTAACCATCACTCCCATAGACAAGGATACGGAACGATTAACCATCACTCCCATAGACAAGGATACGGAACGATTAACCATCACTCCCATAGACAAGGATACGGAACGATTAACCATCACTCCCATAGACAAGGATACGGAACGATTAACCACCACTCCCATAGACAAGGATACGGAACGATTAACCATAACTCCCATAGACAAGGATACGGAACGATTAACCATCACTCCTATAGACAAGGATACGGAACGATTAACCATCACTCCCATAGACAAGGATACGGAACGATTAACCATCACTCGGATAGACAAGGATACGGAACGATAAACCATCACTCTCATAGACAAGGATACGGAACGATTAACCATCACTCGGATAGACAAGGATACGGAACGATTAACCATCACTCTCATAGACAAGGATACGGAACGATTAACCATCACTCCCATAGACAAGGATACGGAACGATTAACCATCACTCTCATAGACAAGGATACGGAACGATTAACCATCACTCCCATAGACAAGAATACGGAACGATTAACCATCACTCCCATAGACAAGGATACGGAACGATTAACCACACTCCCACAGACAAGGATACGGAACGATTAACCATCACTCCCATAGACAAGATACGGAACGATTAACCATCACTCCCATAGACAAGAATACGGAACGATTAACCATCACTCCCATAGACAAGGATACGGAACGATTAACCATCACTCCCATAGACAAGGATACGGAACGATTAACCATCACTCCCATAGACAAGGATACGGAACGATTAACCATCACTCCCATAGACAAGGATACGGAACGATTAACCATCACTCCCATAGACAAGGATACGGAACGATTAACCATCACTCCCATAGACAAGGATACGGAACGATTAACCACCACTCCCATAGACAAGGATACGGAACGATTAACCATAACTCCCATAGACAAGGATACGGAACGATTAACCATCACTCCTATAGACAAGGATACGGAACGATTAACCATCACTCCCATAGACAAGGATACGGAACGATTAACCATCACTCGGATAGACAAGGATACGGAACGATAAACCATCACTCTCATAGACAAGGATACGGAACGATTAACCATCACTCGGATAGACAAGGATACGGAACGATTAACCATCACTCTCATAGACAAGGATACGGAACGATTAACCATCACTCCCATAGACAAGAATACGGAACGATTAACCATCACTGCCATAGACAAGGATACGGAACGATTAACCATCACTCGGATAGACAAGGATACGGAACGATTAACCATCACTCCCATAGACAAGGATACGGAATGATTAACCATCACTCTCATAGACAAGGATACGGAACGATTAACCATCACTCGGATAGACAAGGATACGGAACGATTAACCATCACTCCCATAGACAAGGATACGGAATGATTAACCATCACTCTCATAGACAAGGATACGGAACGATTAACCATCACTCGGATAGACAAGGATACGGAACGATTAACCATCACTGCTGTAGACAAGGATACGGAACGATTAACCATCACTCCCATAGACAAGGATACGGAACGATTAACCATCACTCCCATAGACAAGGATACGGAATGATTAACCATCACTCCCATAGACAAGGATACGGAACGATTAACCATCACTCCCATAGACAAGGATACGGAACGATTAACCATCACTCCCATAGACAAGAATACGGAACGATTAACCATCACTGCCGTAGACAAGGATACGGAACGATTAACCATCACTCCCATAGACTAGGATACGGAACGATTAACCATCACTCCCATAGACAAGGATACGGAACGATTAACCATCACTCCCATAGACAAGGATACGGAACGATTACCCATCACTCCCGTAGACAAGGATACGGAACGATTAACCATCACTCCCATAGACAAGGATACGGAACGATTAACCATCACTCCCATAGACAAGAATACGGAACGATTAACCATCACTGCCGTAGACAAGGATACGGAACGATTAACCATCACTCCCATTGACAAGGATACGGAACGATTAACCATCACTCCCATAGACAAGGATACGGAACGATTAACCATCACTCCCATAGACAAGGATACGGAACGATTAACCATCACTCCCGTAGACAAGGATACGGAACGATTAACCATCACTCCCATAGACAAGGATACGGAACGATTAACCATCACTCCCACAGACAAGGATACGGAACGATTAACCATCACTCCCATAGACAAGGACACGGAACGATTAACCATCACTCCCATAGACAAGGATACGGAACGATTAACCATCACTCCCATAGACAAGAATACGGAACGATTAACCATCACTCCCATAGACAAGAATACGGAACGATTAACCATCACTCCCATAGACAAGGATACGGAACGATTAACCATCACTCCCATAGACAAGGATACGGAACGATTAACCATCACTCCCGTAGACAAGGATACGGAACGATTAACCATCACTCCCATAGACAAGAATACGGAATGATTAACCATCACTCCCATAGACAAGGATACGGAACGATTAACCATCACTCCCATAGACAAGGATACGGAACGATTAACCATCACTCCCATAGACAAGGATACGGAACGATTAACCATCACTCCCATAGACAAGGACACGGAACGATTAACCATCACTCTCATAGACAAGAATACGGAACGATTAACCATCACTCCCATAGACAAGGATACGAAATGATTAACCATCACTGCCGTAGACAAGGATACAGAACGATTAACCATCACTCCCATAGACAAGGATACAGAACGATTAACCATCACTCGGATAGACAAGGATACGGAACGATTAACCATCACTCCCATAGACAAGGATACGGAACGATTAACCATCACTCCCATAGACAAGAATACGGAACGATTAACCATCACTCGGATAGACAAGGATACGGAACGATTAACCGTCACTGCCATAGACAAGGATACGGAACGATTAACCATCACTCCCATAGACAAGAATACGGAACGATAAACCATCACTGCCGTAGACAAGGATACGGAACGATTAACCATCACTCCCATAGACAAGGATACGGAACGATTAACCATCACTCCCATAGACAAGGATACGGAACGATTAACCATCACTCCCATAGACAAGGATACGGAACGATTAACCATACACTCCCGTAGACAAGGATACGGAACGATTAACCATCACTCCCATAGACAAGGATACGGAACGATTAACCATCACTCCCATAGACAAGGATACGGAACGATTAACCATCACTCCCATAGACAAGGATACGGAACGATTAACCATCACTCCCATAGACAAGGACACGGAACGATTAACCATCACTCCCATAGACAAGGATACGGAACGATTAACCATCACTCCCATAGACAAGAATACGGAACGATTAACCATCACTCCCATAGACAAGAATACGGAACGATTAACCATCACTCCCATAGACAAGGATACGGAACGATTAACCATCACTCCCATAGACAAGGATACGGAACGATTAACCATCACTCCCATAGACAAGGATACGGAACGATTAACCATCACTCCCATAGACAAGGATACGGAACGATTAACCATCACTCCCATAGACAAGGATACGGAACGATTAACCATCACTGCCGTAGACAAGGATACGGAACGATTAACCATCACTCCCATAGACAAGGATACAGAACGATTAACCATCACTCGGATAGACAAGGATACAGAACGATTAACCATCACTCCCATAGACAAGGATACGGAACGATTAACCATCACTCTCATAGACAAGGATACGGAATGATTAACCATCACTCGGATAGACAAGGATACGGAACGATTAACCATCACTCCCATAGACAAGGATACGGAACGATTAACCATCACTCCCATAGACAAGAATACGGAACGATTAACCATCACTCGGATAGACAAGGATACGGAACGATTAACCATCACTCCCATAGACAAGGATACGGAACGATTAACCATCACTCCCATAGACAAGGATACGGAACGATTAACCATCACTCCCATAGACAAGAATACGGAACGATTAACCATCACTGCCGTAGACAAGGATACGGAACGATTAACCATCACTCCCATAGACAAGGATACGGAACGATTAACCATCACTCCCATAGACAAGAATACGGAACGATTAACCATCACTGCCGTAGACAAGGATACGGAACGATTAACCATCACTCCCATAGACAAGGATACGGAACGATTAACCATCACTCCCATAGACAAGGATACGGAACGATTAACCATCACTCCCATAGACAAGGATACGGAACGATTAACCATCACTCCCATAGACAAGGACACGGAACGATTAACCATCACTCCCATAGACAAGAATACGGAACGATTAACCATCACTCCCATAGACAAGGATACGGAACGATTAACCATCACTCCCATAGACAAGGATACGGAATGATTAACCATCACTGCCATAGACAAGGATACGGAACGATTAACCATCACTCCCATAGACAAGGATACGGAACGATTAACCATCACTCCCATAGACAAGAATACGGAACGATTAACCATCACTGCCGTAGACAAGGATACGGAACGATTAACCATCACTCCCATAGACAAGGATACGGAACGATTAACCATCACTCCCATAGACAAGGATACGGAACGATTAACCATCACTCCCATAGACAAGGATACGGAATGATTAACCATCACTGCCATAGACAAGGATACGGAACGATTAACCATCACTCCCATAGACAAGAATACGGAACGATTAACCATCACTGCCGTAGACAAGGATACGGAACGATTAACCATCACTCCCATAGACAAGGATACGGAACGATTAACCATCACTCCCATAGACAAGAATACGGAACGATTAACCATCACTCCCATAGACAAGGATACGGAACGATTAACCATCACTCCCATAGACAAGGATACGGAACGATTAACCATCACTCCCATAGACAAGGATACGGAATGATTAACCATCACTGCCATAGACAAGGATACGGAACGATTAACCATCACTCCCATAGACAAGAATACGGAACGATTAACCATCACTGCCGTAGACAAGGATACGGAACGATTAACCATCACTCCCATAGACAAGGATACGGAACGATTAACCATCACTCCCATAGACAAGGACACGGAACGATTAACCATCACTCCCATAGACAAGAATACGGAACGATTAACCATCACTCCCATAGACAAGGATACGGAACGATTAACCATCACTCCCATAGACAAGGATACGGAATGATTAACCATCACTGCCATAGACAAGGATACGGAACGATTAACCATCACTCCCATAGACAAGGATACGGAACGATTAATCATCACTCCCATAGACAAGAATACAGAATGATTAACCATCACTGCCGTAGACAAGGATACGGAACGATTAACCATCACTCTCATAGACAAGGATATGGAACGATTAACCATTACTCCCATAGACAAGAATACGGAACGAATAACCATCACTGCCATAGACAAGGATACGGAACGATTAACCATCACTGCCGTAGGCGAGGGTACGGACCGATGAGCGAGGCGAAGAGCGGCACGCACTCCTGCCCGATGTCCAGGATGGCGCCGAGCGACCGGCGATACTCGCGCGCCACCGCGGAGCAGGGTCCGGTGTCGGCCAAGCGCAGCGAAGCCGGCAAGAGGAGGCGTGGCGGCCCGAACGCCAGGTAGTCCCCGTGCTGTGCCAGCAAGGCGGAGCATCGGCTTGCGCGGCACTCGCGCGCCACGGCGAGCCGGTGGTCCCTCACACTCTGAGACACCTTGCGTACGCGTTCACATGGGGGGCCGCAGTTAAAAACGTCGCCGTGTTCATAAATGGAGTCGTGTCGTGGACCCTCCTCCACCCGACCCAAGCGAATAGAGGAGGGGGGTGTGTGTGCGACACAGATTGACATTTTATTCACGCAACATGATGCTCAAATATCATATTGATGGTGGATGTTAAACATTTCAGTGGCGACACCACATAAGCGATGCGAATGTATTACGGACAGCAGCAGGGTGCATAACAAGAACATCAATGAAAATAATTTCAGACAAGCAGGCTAAACAGTTTTGGGCATTTACATATGTATGTTTAACTTATTTTGCATCATACGTAGCAAACCGTGCTAATCGGAGGTGCATTATGACAAAACGAGACAGGACGTTTTGTATGGGAAAATTCGGGGTACAGGAATCCCTCGCCAACCGCGGACTTGCCAACCACGGTTTCATGCATACACGGTTTATTATTTGGATACTAATTTATCAACCGCAGCCTGGAAATTTGAGTATTCACTGGTAAACACGGTGTTATGGAAGTCAAATGACATACCACAGCATGACATCATTGTATTGCGCAATGTCATTGTTCCAAATTGTGCGGGGCCGTGGCTCTCCGTGTCACGACGACACACATCATACACTGACTCACTCATCATGCGCTTACTCACTCACACAACATACACTGACTCACACTGCCGCTGACTCGCTCACACATCATACACTGACTCACTCATGATGCGCTTACTCACTCACACATCATACACTGACTCACACTGCCGCTAACTCGCTCACACATCATACACTGACTCACTCATGATGCGCTTACTCACTCACACATCATACACTGACTGGCACATCATACACTCACTCGCACATCATACACTCAGTCACGCTGCTGCTGACTCACTCACACATCATACACTGGGAGTGTCGTGCTGCCAGCTATGGCTGCAGTTTGTCGTACGTGTTATGTATATCGTTTATTGTTAAATTTAAAATCACAGATCCTATGATTACTGTTGTTACATTGTTTTTTTAGCTTTATTTTGGTGATTCGAAAACATATGGTTCATCTAAATTGTCTTATGGTTATAATCTTAGTTCTTTCGGTAAAGTCAACGTGACTTTACCGAAAGAACTAAGAATATGAATTACTGCAGTCACCAAAGCTTTAAATCAAAATTTGTCTTATGGTTGTTGTTGTTGTTGGCTTGCACCACATTGATTTTGCACACAGCGTTTTAATATTTTTTTTGTGTGTGGAATATTTGCTGGTTTATTCCAGGATGTTTCTCAGAATCAGAAAGGGTTTTATTCGCCATGAAAGTTCACACCGACACGGAATTTACTTTGGCAGGATGGTGCATACATTCAACATATAGGAATCTAAAATCTTAAATAAGTTTTAAACAAGTCTTACTATAATAAGGGTTAAAAGTCTAACACCAAGGGGCTGAAGTATATAAAATTGAATAAATATCGAATATAAAATAGCTTTAAGATATAATTTAAAAATAAAAAATACAAATAGGTTAACATAGTTAATATCGGCAAGGTGTCATTATGTAGATAAAATGTTAAAAACAGTGTAAGCCCTTGGCCTTGTTTAACAGGCCAGCAGCAGATGGGAAGAAACTGTTTTTATGGCGTGAGGTTTTGGTCCTGATGGACCGAAGCCTTCTGCCGGAGGGGAGTAGCTGAAACAGAGAGTGTCCAGGGTGGGAGAAATCGGCCATAATCTTCCTCGCTCGCCTCATGGACCTTGTCGTGTGCAGGTCCTCGAGGGTTGGTAGATTGCAGGCAATCACCTTCTCAGCAGTGTGGATGATACGCTGCAGTCTGCTCTTGTCCTTGGCAGTGGCAGCAGCTTACCAGACGGTTATGGAGGAGGTGAGGATGGATTCAATGATCGCTGTATAGAATTGCACCATCATTGTCTTTGGCAGGTTGAATTTCTTCAGCTGCCGTAGAAAGTAGAAAGATCAGCCCAATGAGGGTGGTGTCATCCGCAAACTTCAATAGTTTGACGGACAGATGATTGGAGGTGCAGCTGTTGGTATACAGGGAGAAGAGCAGAGGGGAAAGGACGCAGCCCTGAGGAGTTCCGGTGCTGATGGACCTGGAGTCAGAGACTTGTGTTCCCAGCTTAACGCACTGCTTCCTGTCAGACAGGAAGTCTGTGATCCATTTACAGGTGGTGTAGGGCACGTTCAGCTGGAAGAGCTTGTCCTGAAGCAGGGCAGGGATGATGGTGTTGAAGGCAGAGCTGAAGTCCACAAACAGGATCCTGGCGTAGGATGCTGGGGCGTCCAGATGCTGTAGGGTGAAGTGGAGGGCCATGTTAACTGCGTCGTCCACAGACCTGTTGGCTCTGTAGGCAAACTGAAGGGGGTCCAGGAGAGGGTCTGTGATGGCTTTGAGGTGTGCCAGGACCAGGCGCTCAAAAGACTTCATTACCACAGATGTAAGGGCGACCGGTCTGTAATCATTTAGTCCTGTTGGCCTTAGCTTTTTGGGCACAGGGATGATGGTGGAGGACTTAAGACAGGCTGGTACATGGCATGTCTCCAGGGAGGTGTTAAAGATGTTGGTGAACACCGGAGACAGCTGGTCAGCGCAGTGCCTGAGGGTGGCTGGAGAGACAGAGTCCGGCCCGGCTGCTTTGCGTGGATTCTGCCTCTTGAAAAGTCTATTAACTTCTCCCTCCTGAAAGGAGATAGTCGGCTCTGTAGTATTGGTGGGGGATGGGGCCTCTTGGGTTGGAAGGGGTGGTTCAGGACAGTCCAATTGTCTTTCAAATCTACAGTAGAACTCGTTCAGGTCGTTGGCTAGGCGGGAGTCGTTAGTGGTGTTGGGGGCTCTGGGTTTGTAGTTGGTGATCTGCCTGAGCCTTCTCCAGACAGAAGCAGCGTCGTTTGTAGAGAACTGGTGTTTTAGTCTCTCTGAGTACAGTCGTTTAGCCTCTCTCACCGCTTTGCTAAACCTGTTCTTCGACTCCTTGAATCTGTCTCTATCCCCAGTCCTAAACGCTTCCTCCTTCTCCAACCTCAACCTTCTGAGCTTTGCTGAGAACCAGGGCTTATTGTTGTTAAAGTTCACCCTGGTACGTGTTGGGATACAGCAGTCCTCACAGAAGCTGATGTAGGACGTCACAGCCTCATGTGAGTTCATCCAGACTATTGGTAGCAGTCGTGAACATATCCCAGTCAGTACAGTCTAAGCACGCCCGCAAATCTTCCACAGCCTCACTGGTCCACTGTTTAGATGTCCTCACAGCAGGTTTACAGAGTTTTAGTTTCTGCCTGTATGCAGGAATCAGGTGGACCATGGCATGGTCAGAGTGTCCTAGTGCTGCTCGGGGGATGGCGTGGTAGGCTCTACTCACTGTAGTGTAGCAGTGATCCAGAGTGTTCCCTTCTCTGGTTGCGCATTTAATGAATTGTATGTATTTGGGGAGTTCGTGGCTGAGATTACTTTTGTTAAAGTCGCCAAGTACGATAACCAACGAATCTGGATTTGCTCACTCCACACTCAGAATCTGATCGGCGAGCATGCGTTGGGCCTCTTTAACCTGAGGACAAGGCGGCAAATAAACTCCGACCAAAATGAGCGACGCGAACTCGCGAGGCGAGTAAAACGGTTTACAGGTTATAAAAATTGATTCAAGAAGTGGAGAACAATGTTGCAGAATCACTGTGACATCTACACACCAGCCACTGTTAATGTAAAAACAAATACCACCGCCTTTCGTCTTGCCGGAGAGTGCTATGTCACGATCTGATCTTACAAGATGGAATCCTGCGAGTTGTAGCGAAGTGTCCGGAATCAAATCACACAGCCATGTTTCCGTGAAGCACAAAACAGAAGCTGAAAGAAAGTCTTTGTTTTTTACCATCAGTAGCTGAAGTTAATCCATTTTGTTGTACAGTGAACGTACGTTGGAGAGGAAAAAGCTCGGAAGCACTGTTCGGATCCCGCGTCTGCGTAGCCGTACTAGAGCCCCTGACCGTTTACCCCTTGGGCGGTGTTTCGCTGCTTGAGCAAAGCCTAGCGCGGCATTGACTAGAATGCCTACTAATTCTGCCGCTGGAAGCAGAAAAGTAGGAATTCAATCCACAGAAGTTGTTTCCCTGATATTTAAAAGTTCGTCTCTTGTTAGAGAACTCCGAAAATCTTGGCAAAACACTGAATTGACAGACAAAACAAGACAAAATAGGGCGCACCGACTGGCTGAGGCTACCATCATCGGCACCATCTTCGCACCAGTACGGGTGTGCTGAACAGCAGGACTCTCTCACCAGCACTGGTGTGTTGGAACAGCACGCCCTCTCACCAGCACGGGTGTGATGAATAGTAGGCCTCTCTCACCAGCACGGGTGTGTTGAACAGCAGGTCCCTCTCACCAGCACGGGTGTGCTGAACAGCAGGCCTCTCTCACCAACACGGGTGTGAAGAACAGCAGGCCCCTCTCACCAGCACGGGTGTGATGAACAGCAGGCCCCTCTCACCAGCACGGGTGTGTTGAACAGCAGGCTCCTCTCACCAGCACAGGTGTGCTGAACAGCAGGCCCCTCTCACCAGCACGGGTGTGCTGAACAGTAGGCCCCTCAACACGGGTGTGCTGAACAGCAGGCCTCTCTCACCAGCACGGGTGTGCTGAACAGCAGGCCTCTCTCACCAGCGCAGGTGTGCTGAACAGCAGGCCCCTCAACAGCAGGCCCCTCTCACCAGCACGGGTGTGCTGAACAGCAGGCCTCTCTCACCAGCACGGGTGTGCTGAACAGCAGGCCTCTCTCACCAGCACGGGTGTGCTGAACAGCAGGCCTCTCTCACCAACACGGATGTGATGAACAGCAGGCCCCTCTCACCAGCACGGGTGTGTTGAACAGCAGGCCCCTCTCACCAGCACAGGTGTGCTGAACAGCAGGCCCCTCTCACCAGCACGGGTGTGCTGAACAGCAGGCCCCACTCACCAGCACGGGTGTGCTGAACAGCAGGCCTCTCTCACCAACACGGGTGTGATGAACAGCAGGCCCCTCTCACCAGCACGAGTGTGCTGAACAGTAGGCCCCTCAACACGGGTGTGCTGAACAGCAGGCCTCTCTCCCCAGCACCGGTGTGCTGAACAGCAGGCCCCTCAACAGCAGGCATCTCTCACCAGCGCAGGTGTCCTGAACAGCAGGCCCCTCAACAGCAGGCCCCTCTCACCAGCACGGGTGTGCTGAACAGCAGGCCCCTCAACACGGGTGTGCTGAACAGCAGGCCTCTCTCACCAGCACGGGTGTGCTGAACAGCAGGTCTCTCTCACCAACACGGATGTGATGAACAGCAGGCCCCTCTCACCAACACGGATGTGATGAACAGCAGGCCCCTCTCACCAGCACGGGTGTGCTGAACAGCAGGCCCCTCTCACCAGCACGGGTGTGCTGAACAGCAGGCCTCTCAACAGCAGGCCTCTCTCACCAGCAAGGGTGTGCTGAACAGCAGGCCCCTCAACACGGGTGTGAACAGCAGGCCTCTCTCACCAGCACGGGTGTGATGAACAGCAGGCCCCTCAACAGCAGGCTTCTCTCACCAGCACAGGTGTGATGAACAGCAGGCCTCTCACACCAGCACGGGTGTGTTGAACAGCAGGCCCCTCTCAAGACAAAACTGGACAAAACAGGGCGCACCAACCGGCCAAGGCTGCCA